CCATGATGGAGTAAGAGCTGGWGGGCTCTGTTGGGCCTGTGCACGTGCTGGGGTTTGGGATTTTATTCAGGAGGAAGGGTGGGCTGGTGATGAGCAGGCTTTCTGACGTGGGAGGTGAACAGATGTTCACAGATGTGCTGTCACATGAATGGCACTGTGAACACCTCGTTAGCAGACACAGGGGYGACTTCCTGGCACTGGCACTCATTTCTGTGTCATAAACAGCAGCTGGCAGCTGTTGGGATGTGGGCAGGACAGGGTGGTGCTGTCACCTGCAGCAGTGAGACACATGTGAGCAAAGGGRGTGGGCCYGGGCTAAGCCRCCTYRACWCTCWTYATTTTATATGTGTGGTAAATGATGAGAGGAATTGCTGTCATGCAAATGTAATTATGTTCATAATGTCTTCCTCATTAAGAAAACTTGGTTTTCCTTTGTGTGGCCATTGTCAGAGCACTCTGTGGGGTCAGGGCAGGGTGTAAGATTTTTTTAAGGGCAGAGAAGAAGCGAGTGCTGATTAAACARTTCATAATTAGCTCAATTCCAGCTCTGTTGTAGCTGCTTCCTGCAGAAGCCAAGGAGCAAGAGGGGCTGTTTGARGGGCTGCAGGGAGTGGCAGTGATAGGCATGAAGTCAGAGCAAAGCCATGTTTTCACACCAAGCAGGGCACATGCCCTGGCTGCAGTTTCTGCTGAGAAGCTCCAAAATTAATTTGAGATGTGGTCTCTCCTTGCCCTCAGGTATGTGCTGTACCCCCTGGACCTCTACAATGACAGCGCGTACTATGCTCTGACCAAGTTCAAAAAGCAGTTCCTGTATGATGAGATTGAAGCTGAAGTAAGTTCTCTTCACCTTTGTCAAGCTCCCTGGGGTCACACTGCCCWGTTTGACCAGCAGTTCATTATAGGCACCTCCTGAAAGAAATATCCCATCAGACTGASAAGTTTTCAGAAAGATCAGCATTTACAGAGACCTTTCAGACTCTCCTGATTAAGGGTTTCAGCTTAGCTGTACCCATAGGAAGCCATGGAGGCCAAAAGCTATCAAACACTGGGGATATGGAGAATCTGATAAGTAGAGGATTTGAGACATGGGAGGGAAATGAGAAATTCCCTGAGAGGGAARGATGATTGAGGGTGGGGGACCAGGATCTGTAAGAACATGCAGAAGCTATAAAGAGAGAAATGTAACTGCAATTTTCTGCTTACCTTTAGCGCTGTGAGCACTGCAGTGTGGTTTTTAGGTAGTGTGACCTTTAATACATATTTGTATTTAATGAGAGCTCTGTGTTGTGTTATATTGATCTTGCATGCGTAGGAAGGAGCTGTTCTGTGCTGGTGACACCCTCACCAAGTCTTGTTTTTTCTTCCCCAGGTGAATTTGTGCTTTGATCAATTTGTGTACAAGYTGGCAGATCAGATCTTTGCCTATTACAAAGCAATGGCTGGCAGGTAGGAGAGCCTGACTGCTGATGGTGACTGATGATATCACTGCATCCAAATTGCTGTTAACCAAAAGGTTCCCCTCAGGGAGCAGCTGCTGCMAGCAGACAAAACATAGATCATCCCTGTCCCYCAGAGCTGGCTGTCCACGTCACACYGGTGTAGATGGGGAAAATTAATTAATGGCGGCAAGGAGGCACAGTTAAAAGTGATAAAATAATAATTGGCATCCTAAGTAGCTGTYGGAGTACAGTTCGTGAGAGCAGCAGAAAAGCAAACTCAGTTTATTAAAGACATGTCCTTGCTTGACTGGTGTTTGTGTACCAGGCAAAGCAGTGGAAGCTTCCCAAATCTACAAAACATGAATATGCACTTGTCCTCACCCCAGCAGAGCAGCMGGACTTGTTCTCCCTTTGGGGAGACAGAACCTTTGTGGCATTTCCTCCTTACCAATTCAAAGAGCATGGATGAACTCTAATGAGAGTCTTCTCATGTGACTCAAGTCTTCCACGTGACTCTGCAGGTCTTGTCTCTAGGTCACATTTGGCCTTAGAGAAGAACAATCACCATCACCAACCAAATGTCCCCAGAGCAGATCTTCAAGGAGGGAGCACACCAGGGGAACACCCCAGTACCTGACACTGATAGCTTTCAGCACACTTTTTTATCTTTTTGAATGTTTTAACCATAAAAGATGAGCATGGCAGTCCCCAGATAACATCCACTGCTCTGTGATTCAGAGCAAGCAAAGGTGTTAGTGGGAGGAAATTTCTTCTTCAAGGTGGAAAGAAGGACAGAAACGGCTCTGGAAGGATCCATAGAGAAGGTGATAGTGCATGTTTTTATTTTCCTGACACTGCTTCCCTTTTTCAGTGTTTTAYTGGACAAACGTTTCCGGGCTGAATGTAAGAACTACGGGGTGATCATYCCATACCCACCATCGAACCGCTACGAAACGCTGCTCAAGCAGAGGCACGTCCAGGTACAGTGCAAGCAGCAGAGCCCAGTACCCATCCCTCCTGKTCTGTTATCCTTTGGGGGCTGGTGGGCATCCTAGTGCTGGGCTTAGGTGAGATTGGCTCTGTATTGAGAAGGGTTGAATGTGTTTCTGACACAAAAATGAGTTATGCTCCCCATTTTTTTCCTTCTTAATCTCAACCAAGGCGATTGCACCACCGCTTTCACATTTAAGCAGACTTGGAGTTTGGTTGACACTAAAAAATAAAAACACCTTTTCCCCATCTGTTTACAACGTGCAAATCTCCTCTTTCGCCAGCTGCTGGGTAGATCGATCGACCTGAACAGGCTCATTACCCAGCGCATCTCTGCAGCCATGTACAAATCGTTAGACCAGGCCATCAGCCGCTTCGAGAGCGAGGACCTCACATCCATCGTGGTAAGAGCTTTTATTGACTCTGACTATGAGCAGGGAGAATAATGCACTGCTATGAGCACACAGTCAGCTGCCTTCTGCTCTGAGTCCCCCTGCTGCRGGTTTCAGCCAGTCATGTGTCTTCCTTTATGCTGCTGAGTCTTTGCTRTTTCTGTTTATGCAGCTTTAATTGCGTTATTATCAGACCATTAAGTATCTGTGTAGATCATAAGGTAGTAGGCAGCAGTTAGAGTTTGCAGAGCTCATACAGGAAAGTCCTGTGAATGGGGAGAGGGAAATCTTGGCTTTAATTCCCTGCTGGATGAAGGTGGCTATGACATGGTTCACATGTGTACAGGATTTGCTGTCTTTGATRTGTTGCAGGAGCATCAGAGTCAAGTAGTGTAAAATTACCAGTTTCCACCTTTGGAGGATTCTGAGGTGAAAGCCAGCCACTGCTCAGTGGGGAACAAATTAATTTTGCTTCCTGCAGGTTCAAGAAACACTGGAGCAGGACCCCCTTGAGTGGAAGCACTACTGGCCCAGGCCACTGAGTTAAATTGCTGTCGTTCCTTCTGCGTGCGTGCGGACATAAAACCGCTCCCCTGGCAATTAAATCAGCTGTTTCTGTTGTAACACATTGCATTTTCTGCTGCTTTCTGTRCTGCAGGAGCTGGAGTGGCTCTTGGAGATCAATCGCCTGACCCACCGGCTGCTGTGCAAGCAYATGACCCTGGACAGCTTCGATGCCATGTTCCGCGAGGCCAACCACAACGTGTCGGCACCCTACGGCCGCATCACCCTCCACGTCTTCTGGGAGCTCAACTTYGACTTCCTGCCCAACTACTGCTACAACGGGTCCACCAACAGGTGAGCAGGGAAGGCAAGGCCACCTGCACGCTCTGCTTTTCTCTCCAGAGTGTCGAACCTGCTACGTGAAAATCACGTGGATTGTGGTGAGGTTTGCGCTCCCTATCTGATGCAACAGTGAGGTTGAAACGCACCATCTCCCCTTGGTTTTGAAAATKTTTAATAACAAATTCAGGCAGAGGTTAGACAGTGATTGAAGTGGCTGAGGGTTGCAGCAGAGCTGTTCCGATATTGTTTTCTTGCCTGCTGAAAATGCAAGAAAAGAAAGTGAAGAAACCTCACTTCTGGTGGGTTTTACACCACCAATAGGTTGTGGCAGGGGTTTTCCTTCCAGCTGATGTAACTCAGGTGATGGATTCTAACCAGCCTGCATCTGCAGGTCATYCCAGCCCTGTGTGTGCTCAGTTAACCAGGCTCTGACCATTTCCCTCCCCATCTCCCTCCCKTGCTCRCCRCAGGTTTGTGAGGACAGCGATCCCRTTCACACAGGAGCCCCAGCGGGACAAGCCAGCCAATGTGCAGCCCTATTACCTCTACGGGTCCAAGGTCAGTAAATGAGCCACAACAGCCAGCAGGGGTGGATGTTGGAAATATTTATTTAGGAAGCAATGCAAGGACTAGTTGGGTAACAGAGTGGCGGGTGCCATTGTGCAGGGTCACACTGCTGTGTGCAGCCAAAAGCCCATGCAAGAAGCTGATTCAGGGTTCTGTTGCTGTTGCTTTTCCATGTTCTCTCCATGAAATGCCCATCTTGAGGCATGTGAGCACTGCTCTGTACTTGGTGTTGGCACTGAGACTGTCACACCATCGAAATGCACAGGGAGGTGAGCAAGTTCTGATGTTCCTCCCCAAGGATGGTACCACTTCAGAAATCCCATTTTTTGTTGAAAATGGGAATTGATAAAAGACTTGCGTGTGCACTACTTAATACTGACAAAAAGCTCTTTTCTCAGGCTGCAATGACTGCTTATAGAGGTATTATGAGGGCTCAGGCTATGATGATAGTGGAGGATCACTCAAGTGTGAAGCTCCTTGAGTGGAATTTATTTCTTGTGCACATTGATTGGTTAATGACTCTGAAGTGAACCTACAGCACTGATGCACATGAGCTAATGACACTACAGTCTGCCAAGCCTGGCTGTTCCCAGAGAGTTGACTTGGTTTCTTTTTTAAAAACCCTCAGCAAATAAGAAAGATTTTTGTCAAGTGACAAAAATATTCTCCCTGTGATCAATGTCTATGTCTCATGTTCTACCCTGGGACAGACAGCTGCCATGGACACATAGACAGTCCTCTTATCAAGAGCTGGGAAAGAGCAGGACAAATCAAACCTCTAAGCAAAATTTTGTTTTCTTTTGCTCTCATTGAAGGCCATGCTGTGGCAAGATGGCCCTTTTATCATCGYTGGTTTTATAGGAGAAAAAGCAATGAGGTGAATTATACGGGCTCTCCTTCACGAAACTGGAGCTCCTCATTAGCACCGTGGTCATGGGCACTTCCAGGAGCTCCTCCCTCAGTCCATCACTCCGTGGCTCCTCTGGTGAGCTGCTTCCTTCCACCACTTCYTCAGGGTCGGGGTGTTTCATCCCAGCAGCTTGGTGGCACCGTGCTGACCAGAACTGCAGGCAGCCGTAGGCCAGCAGGGCGAGGAAGCAGAGCAGCAGCAGGCTGCTCACCATCCACACGGACGTGCTGGGCTCGTGCTTGGAGCCTCCAAAAACCAGCGGGATTTTGTCCAGCGTGTGGAAGGTGGTGCAGTGGTTGCTGGAGGGGTAGGAGTTCTTGCAGGTGATGCACAGGACGTAGATGGTGGAGGGTGTRAGGCGGCGCAGCACCAGCGAGCTCAGCGGGTGCGGCACTCGCTCCTCGCGGTGGAAGTTCTGCCGCAGGTAACCAGCAAAAACGCTGTTCCAGTTGGGCCGGTACATGAYGTGGTAGAAGTTCTCAGGGCAGGGGCTGCTGGTGGCCCAGGACACGGTGGCGCTGGTGTAGGTGATGTTGTGCACCTCGATGTTCATGGTGCCCCTGGAAGCGGGGAGAGGATCAGTGTTGTGCTTTGTATTCAGGCTCAAAGGCCACCAACATCGGCAAAGTCGCTCCTCCCCTAGATTGGACTCCAGACTATCCTGGCTCACTCAGGTTACATGTTAAATAAATCTTGGATGGCTAAAATTACAAAAGACAAATCCTGCTTTTGCCCCTACTACTGTAGTAGTGACTACTGTGGTGACTGCTGTATCACTGTGCTTCATAACAAAAACATCCATCTGGGACATCACATACACTTTTTGCTCCAGTAATATTTAAAAAAAATTCTCTCAGATTTTAAAAAAATCAACAGTCAGTTGTCTGTGTCAGAGGCTTTTTTAGCTTTTTGTTTCTCACAAAATAGAAAGGATTCTGCAAGTGTGATTCACATAAAGTGATCATTAAACTAGCTCCAGCTCGGCTTGTGAAGCTGCCAATCAATAGATATTTTGATTTTACAGCTAAATGTCATTTAGAAAGCTCCATGATGATTAATTCACTGTTTTAAATCTTTGCTGTATTTTCTGTACTGTACTTGCTTAATAGAGTATAAACTCTGTTCCTGCTGCAGCATCTTACACTGTAATATCAGGATCTTAAATGTCAAATCTGTAGGCTCGCAAAATATAAAATCAATGCCTTTAGGAAAACASAAATATATGAATAATAGGAACAAAGACAGAAAAAAGACACTCCCCCTCTAACGACTTCAAACATTTAAATTAATCTAAGCCACAGCCAGTGAGCAGTAGATTTTGATCCCTTCTGGTGCAATGTCCAGTAGTTTTTCAATACTTTCAGCCACAAAATCCTTGAGCTCTCCACTCCTTTCAATCCCCAAGTGCTCTCCGAGTCTCACTGTAGGGTTCCTTCTCCCAGTGAGCCAAGTGCTCAGGGCAGCACCTCCGTGCAGGAGAGCTGCTTTATTTTTCCCTCCTTCCTCTCTCTCTAACAATWACTAACTTTCCTTTAATTCACTCGAGCATCAGCTCATTTTAGCGACTGCCTCAGCCCTTGTTCCTCCAGGAAAAGGTTCCCATTGCTGAGCCCTCCCAGAGGCAGCACTTACCTCTGGCCAGCTCCGCGGTGTCCCCGTGGYGGTGGCTCTGGTGACAGAGCTGTCCCCTCTCCCCAGCACTCACCTCCCTCCTGCCTCTGAATCCCTTCCCCGAGCGCTCCCTCCTTTATACCCGGCTCAGGCTCCGTCAGCTCTCACCATGGCAACCRATAAGAAGGGATGGGCAGGCATCTTCCAGCGATTTGGGAATGTTATCCCAAAAAGCTTCTGCCTGSGAGGAGTTTTTTCTCTGAGGCAGAAAGAACAAGCCAGGTAGGGGTTTTTTTTCTGACTTATTTAGGTTTTCTGTTTTCCCCCTATCTATAGTCCCCCAGCAAGACCCCAGTAGGGTCTGGGGTTACAGACACAGAACATGATGTGAAATCTGGGATCCTGTGGTACATGTTGACTCAGGGACTTGGTCATTCATTAATTTGTTGTTAATGTGATCTCTTGCACGTTTAAATTACTGATTTAAAGTAAGGCCATGAGCAGTACATTTTGGTCCCTGATGGTGCAGCAATGTCCAGTAGCCCTTCAGTATTTTCTGAACTGTGTGATGGGAGTAGGAATTGGGTTTTCAAAGACTTCAATTCCCTGTTGAACTACGTGGGGTTAGGACAGGCTCTTCTTTGAATGCCCTTGACTTGCAGGAAACTTGAGGATGTCATCTCAGTCTGGTGAGGGGGCAGGAGGGAGAGGCAAAGGCCGTGGTTGTGGTGTTCAGAGGAACAGTTTGAACCCTGTCAGGAGGGGACAGATGCAGCACTGGGCCTGGTGAGGAGAGGCTCTGAACAAGAGACTTGGTGCTCTCTAAAGCCCAAATGTGCTCAAGAGGAGCTTCCCCAGAAATGCTGCTTCTGAGTCCGGAGTTACTCATTCCACTTTCTAAGACACTCAGCTGCTGCCCTGAAATCAGCAGGGAGCCCTGACTCGTCTTGGGCTGCGTGCAAGCCCTGTTTTTGTCTCTGACTATATTCCTCTTCGTTTTTCCAAGGGAATTCTGTACCAGTCAGTGCTATCTATTACCTCTCTCTGTTCAATTTTTCAGATAAAACTCCCCCTGCCTTTCCTCWGGTGAGCTCAGACAGGTCTGAGTGGTGGCAAACAACAAGGTTAAACACATGGAAATAGAACTGAGCCTTGATTTGCTTATTTTGTTGCTAAATCTTCTCCTGAGCTCCCAAAGCAGTGCTGGGACCTTCCCCCATGCTCACAATTACAGAGGGCTGTCCCTGAGACCTGGATGCGGAGTGGGCTCTGGATGTAGACTGGGAACTCTGCCCCATGCTGCAAATCCCAGCCTCTCATCCCCAAAACCTGCCCATTTGGCCCAAACCAAAGGGAGGGCAGACCTCCCTGGAGTCCTCAGCAGCTGCTGGTCCCAAGGGGTGGCAGGGTCAGGCTCTGTTTTGGCTCTCTGAGGGCTCAGAAGTGGCCACCCAGTGTGGGGGAGTGAGCTGTGCTGTGCTGTGCTGTGCAGCCAGCTTGTGCCTTCAGCTGCTTTGTCTTAAAATACCCACTGGTGTCATTTTTGACATCCTCCAGTCTTTACCCCGAGCTGTGTATCTCGCCCTTAAATGGAGCTGCATTTTTAATTGCTGGCAGAGCATTATTAGCAGTGAGGCTGCTGTGAGTGGCTCTGCAGGGAGCTCCGTGAGCCTCCCTCGTCCTGCACACAGGCAGGGCTGAATCACCCCGCTCATCTGCAGCCAGTGCACATCCCCAAGAGTGTCTTCTTCCAATCAGGCTAATTGCTGAGACCCCCAGTGCAGAGAGAAGCCCAACTGAGAGCTGCTCTCCAGCCCTGTTACCCCGCTGAGAGGCGAGGGAGCGCTGCGAGGTAGGAGCTGAGCAGCAGCACTGGCTGCTGGCTGCCTGCACAGCCAAATTCCAGCTTAATTCCAGCCTGCTCAGGGGAAATCCTGACCATTTGCACCTCAGCTGATGGCAGCCCATCTCAGGGGACCCAGGCATGTGCACAGACTGAAGTCTCCTGGGTGTGGAGTGGCAGAGAGGTTGCCAGAAATGAATGTAGGTTCATGAGCTCGCTGAAATCAGGATTTTGTATTCCCCCTAGCCAGGATGAGCCCAAGTGTGCAAAGGGTAAAGGAGCCTACAGGGAGTTATGGAAGGAAGGTGCAGGGAGCCATCTCTGGGCCATTTGGATCMCCTCTGCAGCTTTCTGGGACACCTGGGGCTGGGACAGTGCCTTGCAAATGTTAAACCAGCAAAAGCTGATCGAGTAGGGCTGGGCTTTGGCCCTGGAGCACTGACTTCCCTCTGGGATGGTCATGTTGGTCCTTTGGCAAGTGCTCCAGGCTGGGCATTACCTGGTGTTTGAACAGACAAATAAAAAATTTCAAAAAAGCACATTGCTGTGTTTTGGATGTACCAGGGTGCATAAGTAGTGGGTTTGGGTCTGTCTMTACCAGATTTTTAAAGACCTGGTTATCAGACAGAAGCCTAAGCAGAATGCTCAGGTCTCTTAAGAGTTGGTATCCAAGGAGCTTTGAAAGTATGCTACTGTCTGCCTAAATAATTCTTAACTCTGACACATACTCAGAGCCTTTTTTTAAGTTTTGATGGGAGAGAAAGTTCTTGCTCATTGTGAATGAGCCTCCAAGGCAGTCTCTGTACTTAATAGCATTACAGGGCTATTTTCACCTRCTAGGAACAGGAGGCGAAATTACATTTCACAGAAAATAGGGGACTTCCTARCTGTGTCTCATTTCTGCTAGTTCAGAGAGCACTTTGGAATTACAGCAGTAACAACCTGCTGGACCAGGGCTGTGGGGCTGTGACAAAATGAGGCACAAATAACTGGTTAGAGTAAGTGACCAGTCTGTGAAAGCGTGGTCAGTGCAGTGGTGAAATTCTACAGCTGAGAGCAAAAGAAAATACTTTCCAGTAGCTCAGATGAAGTGTTAAAAGGAAATCTTGTGGAGTGAAACGGAAGAGGAGGGTGGCTGGAGCCTCCAGCTGGCTGCATTGCAATAATGGTGGAACAAATACAACATTTTGCCTTTTTCTGCTACTCCAGCCCTTGCTCCCTTTCCCCCAMAYCTCCTCAGTGCCTTTGCCCCACCASTCCCCTGACTCCATTGCTGGCAGGGAAGGGAATCCTTGTGGAGTGCAGTCTGCAATATCCCCAGGGATGCATTTGGGATACAGTCTGATTTGTTTCCTTATCTTTGTTTTATCTTTTGCTATGCATGAGCCCAGGGTTGATCTGTGTTTTGCTGGAAGGGGCACTCTGTGCCAAGATCTTTTCCAGAATGGTTTTTCTGCTYGCTGGGGCTGCAGTTGGAGATGTCACAGAGGGAGAGTGCAGCCCCTCTCTGCTGGGCTGAGTTGTGATGCCAGCACTGCTATTGCAGAGCCCTCTCTGAGCATGTGGTGTCTCAGCTAAATGTGATTTTCAGGACTTTTTCTCTGCAGAACACACAAGCGAATTAATTCCCCCTACTTCTCTTTGCCTCACACCAAATKCATCCTGTAAATGTTCCAGTGATGAAACACTGCAGCAATTTCCATGTTTCCAAGATGACACTGATAGAGTACATTCCTGGAAATCACTCTCTGTTCTCTGCTGCTAAGAATTTTTGGGGGCAATGTCCCGGGCACTATTCTCCTTAGACCAGTGTCAGATTCTTRCCCTTGTCACAGACCCATGGGATGTCTGTTAAATAGAGACTGATGTAAAGCTTTGCAGGATGCAAAACACATTTTTTGTATCTTTTCCATCTGCCCTTAAATTCAGTTGCTGCAGTTCCTGCTTTTCTTAATAAGCCTCATTTAAAGCAAGTGCCCGTAGGGGGRAAAAAAAWMWRTCTGTYTGWWTRWATRTAWA